ACCTCCCTTTCCCCCCATACCTGTTCTCAGCTCATGAGGGAAAAGGGGTTGCAGGGGGACAAAAGGCACCCCTTGGAGATTTCAGAAACAGCTTGGACCACCTCACAGGGTGGGGAGGGGGAAGTCCAGTGCGCCTCCTTGAGATCCTGGAAGGGAGGACGGGATGAGAGGAAGCAAAGAACGAGAGACGGATCGTTGCCATGCTCGGCTGCTGAGGCCGGGCATATAGGTGTGCACGCTGAAACACTACCTTATTTACTTGCGAGGAAGATGACTCGTCTCCTAAAAGTGCTATAGATACAAAAAGTGACAGATTTGTATGGAAATGTAAGATGCCTCCCCCCCTTATGGTATCCCTTGGGGGGGGGACCCAGTCTTGCATACGATTAAATACATTTAATGGGGCTCTTGTGCATTCCCCAGTAAATCAGTTGCTTTCACTCCCTAGGAATCAATTGCTCTTGTTTGTATTTTGAGTAAAAAGAAATCGTGAATCGGGTTTGCCTGTGTCATTTATAAGGTTTGTATCTCCAGTACCTGGAATGACATTCTATGCACACATGGCCCAGCCTGACAAAGTCACATGCAGATCTGTCCTCACAGAGGAGGGAGAGCTTGTACCTGAATAAAACTTGGGCTTAAAGGTGCCACTGGACTGCTTTGGACCGGGGACTGTGGGGAGCTCTGCAACTTGCCATCAGCTCCGGCCTTCACAGCAAATGAGTTTAGCACCTCTCCTATGGGATCTTCTAAGTCGACCGATGGTGTTTTCCACTACGTTGTATGAGGACAAGCCTGGAGGATTCAGGAGTTGAGGTTTTTTCATATTGTTATGATACCCCAAAAAGCTCTGTGGATGAGGATTTCTACTTTATTATAACATGCAGGCCAGACGTAGTATGCATTGGTTTCAGACTTAGTATGTATTAGTTTTAATGGTAAATCCCCGTGAACCTGCACGTTCAGTTTTGACCTCAGATGAAGACTTGTCAAAATGGCTGTCATTTTCTTACTAACCTATCATAACTAAAGGTATGTGTCATGTATTGCATATGTACATATTTACAGAAATTACAATGAGCTGTAATTTAATTCTTTAAGAGGCGTGTAACTTGTTTGTTCCAGCTATGTGAGCCCGTGTCTAATTTTCCCAATGGAAGAGCTTTTGAGGATTCAGTATGAAAACTGGCCAGCTCAGACCTTTGTAAAGTAAGGGGGGAGTTGGAATACTCCGCATGGGAAGCCAGGTCCCATCTGGATCGAGCACCCAAACGGTCAGGGGACTGTGAAGCCCAGGAAGAGTTCTAGTTGCGTGGAGCAGCCAGGTGTGTTTGCGATGGTGTTCGTCACTGGAATCCTCCTATGTTGCCATTCCTCCGTACCGGGTAAAATCATCTATTAACTCTGTAATAGCTACAGCCCATTCAAAGAGCTGGGAGCCGAGTCTTTGAGCCGGGAATGGGGGTGGATTAAAAAAAAGTGCCGGAAAACCAATCATGTATGAAATTTGGTGGGGTTTGGAAATAACTTTGTACTTTGAAAGTATTAGTAACATATCCACAGGTGACATCAGTCTTCATTAAATCAAAGATGTGCTATTCGGAGAAGGAAATCCTTATCCCCCCCCCACCCACTTTGGACGTTCCCTTTCTTCCTTCTTGCTCTCTTCCCTTTCTTTCCGAAGTCTTGAACCGGCACCGCAAAAGCTGGTTTTTAAATCCTGCTCCTGCCCCTGCATTTTTCCGACCCAATTAGGCCATTACCAGGGCTAAATGAGGCATAGAGCCTCCAAAAGTCACACCGTCGTCCCGGAGATGGAGCGTGTGTTGCCGTGGACTTGGCAGGGAGGTAAGCCGGTTGATACTCACTGAAGGGTGACCCCTCCAGTGTTTGTGCATTCCAGGCTGTGCATAAAAGATCACCTTCACAGAGAGAAAGCCTGAAAAGATCCTCTTTCTCTCTCTCTCGCTCTCTCTTTTGCAATTTTAAAAAAGAAAATCTTAAATTTTAGACGTTTTCCTCCAGAAAGACACCGCATGATCATTGGTGCCTGTCTGTGAGTGTCCCAAACACTGTTTGGCCTTCCTTTGGTGATAAAAGGCCATTAATCCTGGACCAAAACATTGGTTGCTCCAGGGTGGAGATAGGATTATTTGAATCATGAAGGGGCAGGCTTTCAGACCCACATAGCCACCCTTTCAGATGTGTTGAGCCGCTGCCTGGGGGTTGGTGGAAAGCATGTGATCCCAAGTCTCTCTGATCTATCCCAGCAAGATGTCATTCTTACTGCCGTGACCATGGGCCTGTCTGATGTGGGGGACAAATGAAATAAGAGCTGAAAGAAGGAGCCCAAGTAGGGGTTCCAGCTCTGGGTAGGGAAATTCTTGGAGATCTAGGGATGGAGATAGGGGAAGGTGGGGTTTGGGGAGGGGCTGGACCTCAGCAGCGTGTCGTGCTATAGAGTCCACCTTCCAAAGCAGCCATTTTTCCCCAGGGGAACTGGTCTCTGTAGCCTGGAGAGCAGATATAATTCCAGGAGCTCTCCAGCCACCTCCTGGAGGTTGGCAACCCCACAAAGACAAACGTTTTCTGATCGTCGTGGACCACCCAGGGAGCCCTATACAGCCAGGGACCTGCATATCTTCAGGAGCATCTCTCCCCATCCGTGTCTTCCAGAGCGTCATGACCAATGCTCCCTCTAAGCTGGGGAGTCTTGGGAGCAAAAATTCTACTTCGTGAGCTACTGGCATGAAAGTCGTGAGCGAGCGATTTGGCTACTGCGTAAATTAGTTTGCCCCGGAGCCATCCTTCCTGAGCTAAGACAAGAATGTGTGAGCCGGAGGCTCAAAAACCGTGAGCTAGCTCACACTAACTCAGCTTAGAGGGAACACTGGTCATGACCAACATCTGGTTATCTGTGGCCCCAAGGATGTCTGGCTGGTCTTGACTATGGCCAGGGCCTTTTCTGCCCTGGCCCCAGCCTGGTGGAACAAGCTCCCACTTGAGACCAGGGCCCTGCAGGATTTATTACAATTCCATCGGGCCTGCAAAATGGAGCTGTTCCACCGGGCCTTCAGATGAGGCAGTGGACATCCAAATCCATCTTTGGCCTCCCCTGGTGATAATGCTGGCCTCTGACCAGCCCAAGCAGAGCATTGTTGTCACAGGGCTATTTTTGGGCAGGAACACACAGGAATAGAGTTCCGGCTGGCTCCCAAGTTGGCCACGCCCAGCAGGAAATCATTAGCATAATAGGCCACACCCAACAGCAGAAATTCATTAGGATTGGCTACATTAGGGGTGTGTGGCCTAACATGCAAAGGAGTTCCTGCTCCAAAAAAAGCCCTGGGTTTTGACAACAAGCAAGGTAAACAGAATAAGAAGCAAAAGGTGGGTGTGGCTGGATGAGCACACTTCTGGTAACATGGGGGTGTAGCCTAATATGTTAATGTGCTGTGCTGTCAGGGGTGTGGCCTAATAGGCTAATGAGTTCCTGCTGGGCTTTTTCTACAAAAAGAGCCCTGGCACTGTCGAGATGAATCAACCTTTCCAGTCCTTGTTTTACTTGCTCTAAAGGGGCTCTCAGATCTTTTCCAGTAAATTTTTTTTTCGGAAAGTACTCACAGTGGTGAAATTTTGCTGACGTTCATAGGGTCTTGAAGAATTTGCAGTCCCCCCCTCGTCTGGTATTCACAGCTTCGCAGCTGAGGGGAAGCCTCAGTTTCACTTACTCGGGCTTGTGCGTTGGAGTGATCCGGGCTCAATCCGCTCCCCGTCGCAAGTGAAGAGCCCAGGATTGAGCTCCTTGCTTAGGACCCCTCTTTGGGAGGATCCAAGGGGGCTCAGAAGAGAGTTTAAAACACACACACACCCCATGCTCGGCAGTCCTGAACAGCTTCCTGGAGCTCCGGGTAGCTGGTCCGCTGCTGCCGTGCCAAAACTGGAAGATTGATGGAAGTGGCTAGCCATTACCTTCCTCTGTCTTCTCCAGTCTTCCATCCGAGTACTGACCATGTTCCACCATACTTACCTTCAAGGTTGTGATAAGCTCAGACTAAGATGGGAATTCACTGCCACAGGAAGTGGTGGCAGCTACAAGCATTGGGCGGCTTCAAAACAGAATTAGGTAGGCATATGGAGCGGAGGTCCATCAGTGGCTATTAGCCACAAGGTATAGATAGGGACTCTGGGGCAAGTGATGCTCTGTCATCTTGGTGCTTGGGGGGGTCAACAGTGGGAGGGCTTCTAATGTCCTGGCCCCACTGGTGGACCTCCTGATGGCACTGGTATTTCTGGCCACTGTGTGATACAGAGTGTTGGACTGGATGGGCCTTTGGCCTGATCCAACATTGGCGTCTCTTATGTTCTTATCTTATTTGGGCTGGTGGGAAGTGAAGGAGACGGGTACAAAGTCAGTGACCATCTGCAAAATAGATTTTACATGCTCATAGAGATAGTTTGTACATGCACAGCAGACATTAGGGTGGAGTATTTTTGCAAAGTTTCTTTAATATGCAGTATTTCTCCCCCCCACCCCCCACCCCGATATTTTTGGACTGAGGGATTCGAGTGAAAAACTGTGCTGGACTTGTGGAGATCAAGACAGCAGAGACGGGCTTGTATAAGAGAGAACGCTTATTTTTGTAAAACCCTGTGTGCGCAAGGCAGCATACAGATCTAAAAGCCAATAATCTCTGAGACTACTTTCTAACATCTCATTGCAGGAGGCCTTAAAGATAGACTCTGCCTAATGCATTGGAGGTTCTGAAGATGCAAGGAGCGGCTGGACCAGCGAATTGCAATGGATAAGATAGCTGAAGAAACGCAAGCTCTGGGGCTGCTGTCCTGTGGCTTACCCTGCTCCGGACATGCTCACCGAATCCCAAGCATGCAGCATTCAGAAGAGCGAAAGTTCATTGGAGGTTATCTGGCCTAACCGTTTCTGTCTACACCTGTTTTGAAGTTTGCATCGTGTAATCCCCTTTTGAACCAGAGGAACGATGACTTTATATCGCTTCTGTTTCCTCCTCTTTGCGTTCACTTGGAATACCTCCGCCTATGGACCCAATCAAAGGGCACAGAAGAAAGGAGACATCATTCTCGGGGGACTGTTCCCCATTCATTTCGGAGTGGCTGCAAAACACCAGGATCTGAAATCTCGGCCCGAATCTGTTGAGTGCATAAGGTAAGCCCGAGTGAGCGTGTGTGAGGTGACATGCTGCCCGGCCTGAAAGCCTCATACATTTATCATGACCAAATGGGAATTAAGTTCCTGTGTTGCTAAGCAGGCTATAGGACTCTCCAGATGTGATTGAAGTGGCTTGTTTCTCTAACTGTGACATGCTATTTACATGCACCTTCCCACTGCATGCGATCGTGCTTCCAATATATGAAAATTTCTTAAACTGGGCCGTACTGTTGGGCCAATTTAGCTTAGTCCTTCCTGTTGTCACTGACAACAGCTCTTGAGCATTTCTTGCAGGAACGAATTCACTTCCACTTGCGGTCTTACATGGGCGATTGACAGGCCAAGAAAGGGGATCTAGAGTTCGTATCTGTGATAGGTCTTCATTAGATACTATTGAGCCTTTCTTCTTTTTCTGTGTAATTTAATCGGATCTGAGAAGAACATTTCTGGATCGAAATAAGAAGCCTGTACGCTCTTCTAACAATCATTTAATGACTGTTAGCGGACCCGGACTTTAATATAACAGTAGATGTGCGCGAATATGTAGCTGCTGCAATTAAACGTTTTTAATGAATATTGAACAACAGTTTTTTGTTATACTGCTGTCTTTTTTCTGGTTGAACAGCCTATTGGCTTTAAGACCTAGATGGGATGGGAGATGTCTTCCCTGGGCCTGATAACTTAAGGACCGCCAGTCCCATTACGACCCCCTGTAGTGCTTGCATTCCATTTCACACGGACTTCTGGCCCTCGGGTAGCTTGTTTAATTTCGACCAGAACAAGGGCTTTTTTTGGTAGACAGCCAACATTTTTATTTATTTATTTATTTTATTAGATTTATATACCACCCTCCCCAAATGGGCTCAGAGTGGTGTACAGCAATTAAATAATACAATTAAAATAGTATTAAAATAACAATTTACACATAAAATGTCATAAAATACCGTGTAAACAAAGAGGTAATCAGATGACCAATCAAAATCAGGCCACTGGTGGACAGTTTGGCCAGAACAGTTAGGGCCAGAGAAGCTGCTCGGCGGAAGAGCTCCATCTTGCAGGCCCTGCGGAAGAGCTCTGTCTTGCAGGCCCTGCGGAACTGCAGTAAGTCCCTCAGGGTCCTGATCTCATAGGGGAGCTCATTCCATCAGGCAAGGGCCAGGGCTGAGAAAGGCCTGGCCCTGGTCGAGGCTAGTCGGACGTCCCTGGGGCCACTAACAGATGTTGATTTGTGGATCTCAGTGCCCTCTGGGGCTCATATGGGGAGAGGCAGTCTCGTAAGTATGGAGGAATGCTCTGTCTGAAGCAACTCGTGCCCTGTGGGACCTCAGGTCCCTGACCTGTCTACGTTTTGCAGAGCCTGTCAAATGGAATTATTCCCCCAGGCATTCCATTGAGGCAATCTTACTGGGCCTACTACCAGCTTCTCTGTTTGTCATGCCAGAGCGCCAGTGTGTTAAACGGTTTTATAGACTATTTGTAATTTATTTATGTTTTGTATTTGTGTTGTTAATCACCCCGAGCCCCGATTGCAGTCGGCAGTCAGTAAAATGGTAAAAACGGTCCTTGAGAAATGCATTCCATTTATATTGAACGCTGTTATTACCAGGGTCATTCCAACCTTACAGAACTTACGGAAAAGAAAAGAAAAATCCCGCTAGCAAAGGAGTGAAAATCAATACTGCCTATCAATGATTTTAAGGCTGGGCCTTGGCTAGTCCCGTGGTTCTTAGGAACCTTAGCAGGGGATGTTTAATGAGAAGATCGATAATGGTAGACTGGTTTTCTAGAGAGAGGGTGTGCCACTGCTAATGGTTCTCCTTAAAAGGCAGAGCTACATGGGAGTAAGGCTGCCCTTTCAGGTCAGGCAACAGTGAGTCTTCAACAGCGTGGCCAGCCTCCTGCGTAAACGCAGAATGCGTCTTCTGAGAATACTTCCCTAAATCCTCTGCAACACATGGGTGTTTTCTGTCTAACACACAAACCTCTCACCAGCAAACGCTGTCACCCACCGCTGCTCCAAGCGGCAGTGGGAGAAAAATAAAATAGAAAACAGTGATGTTGCTGATGAAGAAGAAGAAGAAGAGATTGGATTTATACCCTGCCCTTCACTTGGAGTCTCAGAGCGGCTTGCAAACTCCTTTCCCTTCCCCTCCCCACAACAGACACCCTGTGAGGTGGGTGGGGCTGAGAGAGCTCTTTCCAGAACTGTCCTTGAGAGAACAGCTCTGAGAGGACTGTGGCCTGCCCGAGGTCACCCAGCAGCTGCATGTGGAGGAGTGGAGAATCAAACCCAGTTCTCCCAGATTAGAGTCCGCACACTTAAGCACTACACCAAACTGGCTCACTACACCAAACTGATGTCGCCACATGGCTTCCAGGCAAAACCATGGAGCTTCTGGCGATTCCTGGAGCTACCCTTTGCCACATCTGAGTTTTACGCAGAAGTGGTGTAGAGATGCCACCAGTGTCACTTTCACCCATGGGAGACAGCTTGGTGTAGTGGTGAAGAGCGGCAGACTCTAATCTGGAGAAACGGGTTGGATTCCCCACTCCTCTACATGAAGCCCAGTTGGGTGACCTTGGGTCAGTCACAGCTCTCTCAGAGCTGTTCTCTCAAGAGCAGTTCTCGCAGAGCTCTCTCAGCCCCACCTACCTCACAGGGTGTCTGTCGTGGGGGGGAGGAAGGCAAGGCGATTGTAAGCCACTCCTTCGAGTAGTGAAGGGCAGGAATTTAAAACCAACTCTTCTCCTCCTCATAGTGGAGAGAAGGAGACTATGGCAGGTGGGCCAGACTCAGAGCTCTGTGTCAGAGCTTGGTCACAGAGAAGGGGCTTAAGAAGCACCTGGTTTTTGTCTCCTCCCTGGCCAGGCTGCTTCAAGCACCTCTTATGCTCCATCTACACATCAAAAGTCAAATCTTCTCAGGCACCTTTGACACAAGGGTCCACCCTTGTCTTTCTGGCCATCTTATGACATTTCTGTCCTAGGTGAGAGCTGGTTTGATTAGTTCCTACACCTCTCTGGAGTCCCGGCTGATAGCTGCACTTCTTTGCTTGGAATTTGATACTTTAAAAAGAAAGAAAAAACCCTAGTAATTTTGTACGTGGGGATTTTTCTCTTCCGCTCTGAGGACAAATTGTCAGATCTATTTTAGGAATCCAATCAGCCGAGTTTTGCACCTGTATTTATCTTTTGGGGGTGGTGGTGGAGGAAATTGTCTTCCCACTTATTATTTCTTTGTAAAGTAAATTAATGAGGAGGGGAAGGAACTACCTTTTAATTATCAGTTGCTGATTGGAATAAAACAAAATTTTATTCCTGTGCAAACAAAAAAAAAGTATTTGTGTTTGTTGGGGAACAACATGAGAACCTCGTATCACATGCACAATGGCGGTTTTGTACCCCCCCCCCAGCTGCACCCTGGCTCTGTTCTGTTTGCAACCACAGCAGGCAAGGAGAACCAGCCATAGCCTCCACCCACCTGCTGTTTTTGAGTCCGCAAACTACCCTCTGGAGTTGCTCTTGCCTCCATTGTAAAAATCACATTACCTAACATGGCTGCATGAGTAGGTCTGCCAGTCCATCCGCTATGGCAGAAGGTCCCTTGGTGGCAGCCTTCTTTGCCTGCCGGCACTCTGAGGAACAGCGGGAGAAATATTATAAAAACAGTGACATTAGTGATTTTGCTACATTACTTCCAAGGAAAACCTGCAAGTGACAGAAGGTAGTTCTAGGAATCACCAGAAACTCTATGATTTTGCCATAGAATACCAGTGGTAAGTCCTAGAGCCAACCTCTGTCACTCTGGGTTTTCCCTAGAACTGATGTAGTGACATCAGGGATGTCACCCCCACACACACACACACATCCCTGCCCCCCGCCTTCTCACTAACTTCTAACTTGGCAACCCTAAATGGAGGCAACTGAGGATTTGTTCGTGGTACCCCCTTGATATACTGATGTTTCCAAATGACTGAGAAAAGAGAGATCCATCTCCGTTTTCTGTTAATGATCATTCTGCATATGCTAAGAGGTACTACCTGTCGTGTAACCAGATGGGGCTCGCTGTCAGAGAGGCTCAGCATTAAGGCACGAGATCAGAAGCGTGGCATTTTGTCATGATCAGGAAATTCATTCCCCCCCCTTGGTGGTACATCCCATGCAATGACTTTCTAGTGACTGCTATATCAATCTGATTGTCACCAGGCCTGGCAGCCCTACTGCATTATACAATTTCTGCATAACAGAATTCCACAGCAGAGTCAATAGCAGCTCCGTGGGGTGGTTTCTGGATGTGAAGACAGCATCAGGGATGGGCTAAAACCAATTCTCCCTGCCTGCTGTGGTGGCTGTTGTGCGCAGGTAGGAGTAGGCTTGCCAAGTCCCCCCGGGGGGCGGGGAAACCCCCGCTCCAGAGGCTCGTTCCCCGCCGCCAGCGGATCGGGCCCCGGCGGGAATCCCACCCCGACGTGCACGTCGGGTGTCACCCGGAAACTCTATGGTTTTCCCTCGGATGGTCGTGGCCCCGCCCCCAGTGTGCCCGGCGTGGTCGCATCACTTCCGAGTGATGTGGATGCGGCGCGCGCACTCCAGTTGCCAGCCCGGAGTCCCCCACTGCGGCGAAAATCAGACTTGGCAACCCTAGGTAGGAGGCACAAAACTCCCATTGCACACATGATACTAAGTTCTCATGTGGTTCCCCAACCAATATGAGGACATTGTAACATGTAGACAGAGCCTTCGCTGCCATCCTTTTCCTCTTCCTCCCCAGCTCCTGCATAACCCCCTCCTCCTCCAAGACCAGGGAACATCTCTGTGTCACCTGGAAATGGGGCCCAGCGACAGAGACCCTCTCTCACTCAACCTCTTCCCTGGAGCTACCCCCACAAAGGCGATTTCTGGGGCATCTGCTCAATGTGCGTTTCCAAACCACATGCAGGATCACTAGTAGTCTAACAGTACAATCTTAGGAATATTTTCCTTGGAGTAAGCCCACTGAATACCCCTTGGGTAAGATTCTGAGTAGACCTGCTTATGATTGCTCTCTTTGCTGGCAAAAGTATTGTAACCAGCAACTTATCATAGAGTTTCCAGCGATTCCTAGAGCTACCCTATGTCACTTCCTGGTTTTCCCCAGAAGTGTTGCAGTGGTGCACTGGCCATTGCCCCCATGTCCCTGGCAAATCAAACACAGGTGGGTTCTCAGTTTTCCCCACACTGTCCCCTCACACCTGCTGTTATTAACATTTCTACTGTATTTGTATCCTGTCCAAGAGTTCACAATGGTATACATAGTTCCCACCACCCTCTATTGTCCTTAAGGGCCAGTTTATCTACGCAATAGATTTAAGAGGCAAGCCTTCCCCCAGGATGTACTTTAGTGTTGTTTAAAATGTTTGTCAAAGGGTTTTAACCTAATTTATTGTTGTTACCTGCCCTGAACCTCTCACAGTTCTGCAGGGCTGTGAAAACGGAGCTTTTCTGGCAGGCATTTGGATAGGAGCTGCACTTTATCAGCTATGCCCTGTGCCAACCTAGAGCTAGAAGCTACCTAGAATGGTATCCACCGCTGAACGTGCTCATGAATGCACCTTACTATACTGTACTGCCATTGCTATATTAATGGTCTTATGTCATGTTTTATGGATTTTTATTGTGATATATATCTTGTTTTATTGGTTTTATGTAAGCCACCCTGAGCCTGCTTCCGTGGGGAGGACGGGGTAAAAGTTGAAATAATAGATAATAAATAGATAAATAACCTGGTGTGCAAATAGAGAATCCAATAGTCTCCCTCAAATGGATTTCCCAGTCTGAGGAATCTGGTAGTGATACAACACAACCTCTGTCTGCATTTTCCTACAGTGACAATTACAATTTCTTGCCATTCCAGTGAAAACTCATTTGCCGTCCTTCCTTGTTGTGGTCTGTTTGTTTCCTTTCACAAAGTGAAAGTGGCTTCCTTTGAAAAAAAAAAAACCCATTTCCATTGGTCTGCCGTTATTTCCTATGGGGGAAATTTCATGAGGCTGGAGTGGCTGGTTTTCAGTCAAATGGCACCAAAATTGCAGCAGAGTCAGTGCTGACTGTCCACATAACTCCCCCCCCCCAGTTTCAAGCAAACTGGACCAAGGGTCGAACTCTATGGGCCCCTGATCAAGTTGCCTCCAAACTGCACTTTCATTATTCCTTATGGGGGACTTGGGGTGTGTGCGCGGAGTGGCTGTTTTTAACCAAATGACACCAAAATTGCAGTGGCGTGAGTGCTGCCTGTCCACTAAAGAGCCCCCGAATTCCAAGCAAATTGGGCCAAGAGCCTGAATTCTATGAGCCTGTGAACAAGGTGCCCCAGCTCTCTATTTTCCCAGCTATAGGTCTTGCAAAGAACTAAAGGGTTCCACCCCACAAAAAATAAAGGAAAAGAGAATTGTGGCTGTCTGTGGCTTATCTCCAGAGGTAACTGGCTGGAATCTAAATGTGCTCCTTCCTTTGCAATGATCCAGTTGGAAGGGAGAAATGCCATTGCCTAGGAAATTAGTAGAATTGAAGAAAAACATGAGTGCATGATTTGCTAGCTAGCAGCATCCAAAAATGAAAAGCAACACAGATTGTTCCAGGAGAGGATTTTTGTACCGCCTGAGAATCTCAGATTTGTGTTACTATTCCATAAAATCAAGTTTAGATATATATATTTTTAAAAGATAATGACCCAAACCCACAATTTCTGTGTATATTTTTGGCTCAGGAATTTCGTTATGCACACCCCTATGGGAAATGGCCCTTGACCCTGTTGTGCTGGGATCACTGTCCTGCAGAGTAGGTTCGTGTCTCTTCGAAGGCAAGATGTGTCATTTTTTTGGGCCATGTTATTTTTCTTTTTCCAGCTGGGTACACTGTCTCCTCTGTTCCACTCTTTTCCCCGCTTACCTGTATTTTGATTTCTCCCTTTTGTTCTAGATATAATTTCCGTGGTTTCCGCTGGCTGCAGGCCATGATCTTTGCCATCGAGGAGATCAACAACAGCCCCACTCTACTTCCCAACATGACCCTTGGGTACAGCATATTTGACACGTGCAACACCGTTTCCAAAGCCCTGGAAGCCACGCTGAGCTTTGTGGCCCAGAACAAGATTGATTCTCTGAATCTGGATGAGTTCTGCAATTGTTCGGAGCACATTCCCTCCACAATCGCAGTGGTGGGAGCAACCGGCTCTGGGATCTCTACTGCTGTGGCCAATCTTTTGGGTCTTTTTTACATACCTCAGGTACTAATAACACAATCATTACTTTATTTGTCAAAGATGGGATAGGTATGTTTTCCAATTGCATTTGGCTTCCCATTTGCTCACCCATGGTGGGTAAACCCCTAGCTTCAGCTCCAGTCCCGTCTTTGAGAAACTAAGAAGCGGGAGAAAAAATTGCTGTAAAATAGCCTCCATAGTGACTGATGCTCTAGGAATCTCCCCATGTCTCTATAGGCTTTTCCACAGAGATTAAGGGGAATTTCTACAGTGTCACCCGGAATATCTGTTCCCTTGAGAATGATCCCCATTCCGATCTTGGACTGATAGCTGTGCATCAAAAATAAACTGAAATTTTGTAGCACCTTCAGCCCATTTATATTCTACCATACGATTATGTGGGCTGGAGTTGCATCTGAGGAAGTGGACTGTAGCCCAAGGATGGTAGACTGGAAGATGTGTTAGGTTTTAAGCGCCCCAAAACCTGTATTTTTTCTGTCACACCTTGCGTTTTCTTTAAGATAGTGGTATATAGTATATAGTAAGATTGGGAAAGATTGAAGGTCAAAGAAGACGGGGACGGCAAAGGATGAGATGGTTAGACAGTGTCATAGATGCAATGAACATGAAATTGAGTGAACTTCAGAGGACAGCAGAAGACAAGAGGGCCTGGCGTGATCTGGTCTATGGGGTCGCGAAGAGTGGGACTCGACTGTGCGACTGAACAACAAAAAATATAGTAACCATTCACTCCTTACATGCTAAGGCATGGAAGAGGCACTGTGTTTACAGAATAAATTGCAGGAAATGATCCCTTCTAATCTGGTTACGGGCCTGATTATGAGACTGAAACAGCCTTGTTCATTCTGGTGGATGACTTGTGCTATGAGATAGACAGAGGAAGTGCAACCCTGTTGATTCTCCTGGACTTCTTAGTGGCTTTTCAGTATCATCAATCATGGTATCCTTCTGGACTGCCTATCTGAAGTGGGATCAGGAGTAGGGATGGGTACAAACCGGGGAAAGGGAGGTCCGTGCCAGTTCATAGTTTGTGAGGTCACATGAACCACGAACCTTCACGGACCTCCCTGTTTACCGAACCAGTTCCGTTTGTGAGGTTCAGGGGAAGATCGTTCTCGGGAAATCTTCCCTCCCTCTTTTCTGCTGGCGTTGGGGGTGGGGGGAAGAGCTTGCAAAAGGCATTTAAAGGGAACATTCTCTTTAAATGGCTTTTGCAAGCAGGCGATGTGTGCGAGTGAAGCCCAAGCGGTGAGTTTACCTGGAAGTGGTGAACTTGCCGCTTGGACTTCACTGAGGCATGGCACCCACTTGCAAAACCCATTTAAAGGGAGCGTTGCCTTTAAATGGCTTTTGCAAGCAGGGACCGCATGCGAGTGAAGTCCAAGAGGCAAGTTCACCACTTCTGGGTAAACTCGCCATTTGGACTTCACTTGTGTGCAGCTTGCAAAAGCCGTATAAAGGGGACACTTGTATGCGGGGGGGGGAGCGAAAGGGATTGCTGAAATGGCTTGCATCTATTTCAGCCTAACAGCTGATGGGCACAGAGCCCTGCTGTTAGGCTGAAATAGATGCAAGCCATTTCAGCAATCCCTCTCACTTCTCACTACAAACCCCATGAACCTCTGAAACTATGTGGAAGGCCATGGGAGGGTTGTGGATAGGGATGGGCATGAACCTCTGGTTCGTGAACCATGAGCCAGTGATAATCGTCAGGAAATTAGGTTCGTGACGAGGTTCATGCCTAATCAGGAGGCACCATTCTGCAGTGGCTCTGGTCCCACCTGGAGGGTAGGCTTCAGAAGGTGGTGCGGGGTGACTGCTGTCCATCTGCTTGGCCTTTGGCCTATGAGGTCCCACAAGGTTCTCTCTTGTCCTTTATGCTGTTTAACATCTACATGAAACGGCTGTGTGAGATCATCCGGAAATTTGTACTGGGTTGTCACCAATCTGCAGATGACATTCAGGTGTATTTCGCACGTCCAACTGATCCCACGGAGGCTGTGGAATCCCTGAACCGATGCCTGGAGGCAGTTTTGGGTAGTATAAAGGTTCCCTTGCTCGAAAGCCAGGCGAGTCCGACTCTAGGGTTGCGGTGCTCATCTCCATTTCAAAGCCGAGGAGCCAGCGCTGTCCGAAGACGTTTCTGTGGTCATGTGGCCGGCATGACTAAACACCAAGGTGCACGGAACGCTGTTCCCTTCCCACTGAAGTGGTACCTATTTATCTACTTGCAATTTCTTGCTTTCGAACTGCTAGGTTGGCAGGAGCTGGAACTAGAGACGGGAGCTCACCCCGTCATGCGGCAACCCAGGTCTCGAACTGCTGAACTACCGACCTTCCACAGCCTGCAGTTCAGCGTCTTAACCACTTGAGCCACTGCAGCTCCCTTTGGGTAGTATGTGCACTAATAAACTGAAGGTTTATCCCAACAAGATAGAAGTGCCACTGGCGGGCAGAAGGTCTGACCCAAGATTTAAGGTGTCACCCATTCTGGATGGGGTTATACTACCCTGAAGGAACAGGTCCATAGTCTGGGGCAGTGTTCCCTCTAAGCTGAGTTAGTGTGAGCCAGCTCACAATTTTTTTAGCCTCCAGCTCACACGTTTCTGTCTTCACTCAGGAAGGATGGCTCCAGAGCAAACTAATTTATGCAGTAGCCAGATCACTTGCTCACAACTTTAATGCCAGTCGCTCACAAAGTAGAATTTTTGCTCACAAGATTCCACAGCTTAGAGGGAACCTTGGTCTGGGGGCCCATAGTCTTGGACCAAGGCCTACTGCTGGATAAGCAGGTGGCAGCTGTGGCCAAGCGTGCCTTTTCCGCAGTCAGGATGTTGGGTGGAGTGGATCCTAGGGACCGTATCCCTCTAGCCTTGACCAGTGTTCCCTCTAAGCTGAGTTAGTGTGAGCTAGCGCACGGTTTTTTAGCCTCCGGCTCACACATTTTTGTCTTAGCTCAGGAAGGATGGCTCCGGAGCAAGCCAATTGATCCAGTGGCCAAATCGCTCGCTCACAACTTTAATGCCAGCAGCTCAGAAAGTAGAATTTTTGCTCACAGGACTCCACGGCTTAGAGGGAGCGTTGGTCTTGACCCACCTACACTGGCTTCCGGTTTGTTTCCAGACACAATTCAAGGTGCTGGTCTTCACCTTCAAAGCCCTACATTGTTGGGGGCAAACATACCTGAAGGACCGCCTACTCCATTATGAATCGTCTCATCCATTACAGTCATCTTTGTGGGCCCTGCTTTGGATGCCCCGCCTTCTGAGGTTAGGCAGGTGGCGACCCAGGAGGGGGCCTTCTTGGACACAGCAACAAAGCCCTGGAACGCTCTCCCCAGGGCCCGCTTCTGCTGCCATCTTCTGCCAGTGGGTGGAGACTTTTTGTTTCGTTTGGCATTCCTTCAGTGATCTTCCTATTTTTTTTTTCCAATAACAGTTTTTATTGAGAGAAACAATGAGTTAACAATAACAACAATTGGAATAACATGCTTAAATACCCATAATGGGGGTAATCCTACTGTACCCCTGAGATGGAGATTGCTGTGAAACAATTTAACATGAAACATAGCTTTGTTATCACCAAACTTAGTATGATATTTAACCCTAGTACAACTGGCAATCGGTGACGTAATAAACAACGATTACAGTAAAAAAACCTCCAAACAAGGCTTATGAGATATGGAAGGAAAGAGTAGTAATCTATAGCTAACAAGTCACAAATAAGTGTAGAAATTAAACAAAGCATAAATATAAAGTGATTGACGACAAATTTATGTAAATAGTATAAAAGCATTCGAAATAGACAAAAAGGCACTCAATACAAATTAAATCCATTTGATAGAACTCCGTTCCTGTGCGTTCCTGCCCAAAATTAGCCCTGTATATATGTGTGTGTGTGTGTGTGTGTGTGTGTTGTATTTTTGCATTTGTGTGCGTGCGTGTGCCTGGCGATTCCTACTGGGACATGGAGGACGTTCAGAGAAGTGGCTTGATAGCCTGCCTCTGGCTTCCCAGCCCTGGTATTCTCTGGAGGTCTCCCATCCAAATACTTGCCTGCTTAGCTTCCAAGATCTGACGAGAGCACGCTTGCCTGGGCTGTCCAGGTCCGGACAAATGTTTTTATGTCCTGTATACATTTTAACTCTTTTTAAAATTGTTTGAATGATGTATGTTTGGGAGGAGGGTTGATTTCATTGATTCTAAGATGTAATTTTATCATGCATGTTTTAAAATGGTTTGCCACCTTGGCAGCCCTTGGCAGGGCAAACAGGCGGGATACAAATTTTGTAAATAAAGAAATGGTCCTTAGAAGAACCTGGGAGTGCAGTTGAGAAGCAAGCAGCTAATGAGAATGCGCTCTCATGCTCAGCGTGTTGGTGTTCTCGTGTGTCGAAGACATAGCTTGGATCCTATGAATGAGTATTGTGTATGGCAGGTGACCTGCGCCACAGACTGTACCTCTTCTTGCATTAGCGCGTCTCTTTCCACAAGGGCTCACAGAAAGCCGTTGATCTTGTGCAAACAGAAGTGCCAAAGCAAGAGAGAGCACACTTTGCAGCAGAGACCATCTGGGGCTCGTGGAATTCATTTGCCAGATCCAAGCCTGTGCAATGACAGCAAATTCATAAGCATTTGTATAGTACTTTAAAGTGCATCTCAGTTGTCCTCCCCCAAACTCTGTAAATTAGGACAGAATTGTCATGATCCCCATCCTGCCGGTATCGGTTGGAGGCTGATCATGGTTTCCCTCTGTCCATAGCTGAGGCAGAATTTGAATCAGCGACTCTCCAGCTCTCATTCTTGGCCACCATGTTATATCAGCTCTCATGTGATAATGTCGTGGGTAGGGTGAAGAAGAAGAGATTGGATTTATACCCCACCCTCCACTACCTGAAGAGGTCTCATAGCGGCTTACAATCTCCTTTCCCTTCCCCTCCCCCAGCAGACCCCCTGTGAGGTAGGTGGGGCTGAGAGAACTCTTTTGAGGACTGCCCTTGAGAGAACAGCTCTGAGAGAACTTGTGATTGACCCAAGGTCACACCAGCAGCTGCAGGTGGAGGAGTGGGGAATCAAACCCTGTTCTCCCAGATTAGAGTCCGTGCTCCTAACCCCTACACCAAACTGGCTCCTCCCCCAAACTCTGTAAATTAGTTCTGAATATGCCCGCATGCATGCTGTCTAGCTGATGCGGACTGTCTAGTTGATGAGACATCGAGCATCCTGTAAGTCATCCCAAAAACACGGTGCATGTGATTCTAGAGTTTTCTAGGGGTATCGCCATTCCACTGGACATCTCAGTTGCAGGGCCGGCATCAGAGATTAGCTGGGCCAGGCAGTTACTAGTGTCCTGACCAATGCTCCCTCTAAGCTGTGGAGTTTTGTGAGCAAAAATTCCACTTTGTGAGCTACCGGCATGAAAGTTGTGAGCGAGCGATTTGGCTCCTGCATAAATGAGTTCGCCCTGGAGCCGTCCTTCCTGAGCGAAGACAGAAATGTGTGAGTCGGAGGCTAAAAAACTGTGAGCCAGCTCACACTAACTCAGCTTAGAGGGAACATTGGGACTCCTGACTTGTTATGGAGCCCACTTGCCCACTGTCAGTCCTACCAACTTCGTTCTCACTTGGCCCAGTGTCCACATACGTGGTGTCCTTAACATTGCTACATCCTTAACATTGCTACCAGAGAGCAAGTTTGGTGTAGTGGTTAAGTGAGCGGACTCTAATCTGGGAGAACCAGGTTTGATTCCCCACTCCTCCACTTGCACCTGCTGATGTGACCTTGGGTCAGTCACAAGCTCTGGCACAGCTGTCCTTGAAAAAGAGCCCTTTGTGTCAGAGTTCTCTCAGCCCCACCCACCTCACAGGGTGTCTGTTGTGGGGAGGGGAAGGGAAAGGAGTTTGTAAGCTGCTCTGAGACTCCAAGTGAAGGGCGGGGTATAAATCCAATCTCCTCCTCCTCCTCCTCCTCCTCCTCCTTTCTTCTTCTTCTTCTTCTTCTTCTTCTTCTTCTTCTTCTTCTTCTTCTTCTTCTTCTTCTTCTTCTTCTTCTTCTTCTTCTTCTTCTTCTTCTTCTTCTTCTTCATGAAGTAAGAGCACTGCTTCAGCTCCCTTGGGTTGGCACAGGAGATGCTGGAGCATCCTTCTCAGTCATAGGCCCCATTCACTCATGAGCCAGGCCTCTGCTTTGTCTCCACAACTAGTTATGACGCTGAACTGCAGGCTGTGGAAGGTCGGTAGTTCAGCAGTTCAAGACCCGGGTGCTGCATGACGGAGTGAGCTCCCGTCTCTAGTTCCAGCTCCTGCCAACCTAGCAGTTCGAAAGCAAGAAATTGCAAGTAGATAAATAGGGACCGCTTCGGTGGGAAGGTAACAGTGTTCCGTGCGCCTTGGGGTTTAGTCATGCCGGCCACATGACCACGGAAACGTCTTCGGACAGCGCTGGCTCTTCGGCTTTGAAATGGAGATGAGCACCGCAACCCTAGAGTCGGATTCGACTGGCTTTCGAGCAAGGGAACCTTTACCTTTACTTTAAGCACAGAACTGGATCCTGTCTTCCCAACCATAACCTTTTCCCAAGCGATGCTGCATTGCTGGAGATCTCCCCAGGAAACAAAGAGTCATATTGAGATAGTCTGGACTCAGAGTGGCGTTTTAAGTGACCCCTCCAGATTTTTTAATTTCTCCCCACCACCACCACCACCACCAAAGTTAGCCAAAACATTGTGAGACCTTCTGGTTTGAGATTACATTTAAATTGTTAAAGGCTGGTTTTAATTCACTGTATTGTGTTCATTTTTAGATCTTTACCTATCCGTCAAGCTCGGCTAAAACAAATTAATTTTGGCACTGGGAGTTCAGCCACCAGATACCTTGCTCTTGCTTTGAAAAGGTTCACTCAACCACTTCCGCTCCTCTGATTCCAGGCCAAGAAACGATGCAAATGGAATTCTAATTCAGAGAATACAGAATTATCTTAGCAGCTTCGGATTACAAATGCTTAAGGGGCAAGCCCACTATTATAATACAGTTGTTTGGTTGAGCACCAGGGATAAAATTTGGGATCTTGGCAAACAGGCTAATATAGGAGAGCCAGTTTGGTGTAGTGGTTAACCTGGGAGAACTGGGTTTGATTCCCTGCTCCTCCACTTGCAGAGTGCTGGATGACCTTGGGCAAGCCATAGTTCTGACAAGAGCTTTCCTTGAAAGGGCAGTTCCTGTTAGAGCTCTCTCAGCCCCGCCTACCTCACAGGGTGTCTGTTGTGGGGAGGGGAAGGGAAAGGAGACTGTAAGCTGCTCTGAGACTCCAAGTGAAGGGCGGGGTATAAATCCAATCTCCTCCTCCTCCTCTTCTTCTTTGGCTAAATAGCAGAGGCCATTGGTTAAGACAGACAGAAAGATAGTCTTGCTTTTTACCAAGGACAGATCGTGCCTTCGTTTTCTCGATGATGATGATGATGATTGCAGGGGGTGTTGTTTTCTCGATGATGATGATGATGATGATGATTGCAGGGGGTGAGGTGGGGAACAAAGATGGAATAATTTCTTCTAGTTGAGCAGGGGGGGAAATGCAAGAGATGGTGAGATTTTCCCCCATCTCACCCGCTCACTAACTGGCAGGTTTTGCTGGCCTACTCAAATGACACCTTCCAGTTGGCACTGCATTTTCAAGATAGTAAGAAAAATATGGTTTATACATCACATGTGTCTGTGTAGTTCAGAGTAGTCTGTACCTGACTAGATGGAATGCTAGAGAAAGCGTAAAGCCAATAGCAGGAAAGATAAACGTTGACTCTTTAATTTTTGTTCCTTTTTGCTTTAGCATTATTAGTTTTTCTTAAGAGGAAAATGGTCTTCCAGGTCTAAGACCAAATCATGACCAAGAACTCTAGCTATGGTTTGGGCCTGCTGTCTTAACGGACATACTGCGGTTTGCAGATCAGCTGACAAATGAGAATCTGAAATCATTGTCTGATGTGGGTTGCAAACCGTGTTTCTTTGTACCTCTGGTTTGGTATAATGTCTGAACTGATGAACTCCCACTCCAGTCGTTGCTTGGCCTTCAGATACTGCTGTCCCCTGAGGACACAAACTTTTGAAACTGCAGATGGAAAACAAAACAAAAAACGCAAGCGGCTCAAACAAATCACGATTCGCTTGTTATACATTGGGAAGCACAAACCATGGTTTGGTATGACACATAGGGCGAGTCTGCATTGGCTTTCCCCTCCATTGTTATACCGAACCCACGCTGGAACAGAAATTTCCCTCTGCATTGCATGCTGCGGTCACTTTCTTTGCTCATCGGATTTCATGGTACCCTCTACACCAGGGGTGTCAAACATGCGGCCCGGGGGCCAGATCAGGCCCCCAGAGGGCTTCTATCAGGCCCGCAAGGGACTGGCTATCTCCTGCTTCTTCCTCCAGTTCTGCTGCTGCATCATAGCTTGCTTTCCCAGACTCCCATCACTCAGGAGAGATAAGATAGACAAGCTTCTGCTCCCTGCACTGGGCTGAGGCTCCTCCCCCTCCCCCTCCCAGATTGCAACAGCACAAACATTTTGATGCAATAATTCAGAGCAAGAAGTGTCAGTTATCAGAGACTGTTAAATAAACAAAATATTTCAAGAATGCTAATGCTTCAAGTATAAGTTTTAAAAAATCCTTTGTGTTTGTGTCCTTTATAAAGTTTAAATCTCCGCAACCTGGCTTTACATTTTATGGCACACATGGCCCGGCCTGACAAAGTCAGATTTCTGTCAAATCCGGCCCTCCATAACAAATGAGTTCGACACCCCTGCTCTACACTGCATGCTGCTTTCGCTTTCTTTGATCATTTGGTTTTATGGTGCCTTCTGCATAGATTTATGGCTGCTTGCAGTCAGTACGGCATTGCCTCGGAGTATTTGAATGTGGATTTGAGCGGCACCTTTTCCATCGTGGGTTTGGTAAAACAGCGGAGGGAAAAGCCAATGCAGAATCGGCCATATTTGGCTTTAGTGTATTATTTACCATCTTTAGATGCAAACAAACAAAATCTTTCAGGATTTTTTAAATTGACAGATCAAGTATTTTTACTCTCTTTGCTTAACAGTCCATTACCGCTTGTCCCCTTTCCCCTCGCCCAGGTTAGCTATGCTTCCTCCAGCCGGCTCCTGAGCAACAGGAATGAGTACAAATCTTTCCTACGCACCATTCCCAACGATGAGCACCAAGCCACTGCCATGGCGGACATTGTTGAGTACTTCCGCTGGAACTGGGTGGGCACTATCGCGGCAGACGACAATTACGGCCGTCCCGGGATCGAGAAGTTCCGGGAAGAGACAGAGGAACGAAATATCTGCATTGACTTCAGCGAGCTGATTGCCCAGTATCTACCGGAGGATCAGCTTCAGCAGGTGGTGAAGGTCATCCAGAATTCCACAGCCAAGGTGATCGTGGTCTTCTCCAGCGCCCCGGATCTGGAGCCCCTCATCAAAGAGATTGTCACACGTAACATCACGGGCAGGATTTGGCTAGCCAGCGAGGCGTGGGCCAGCTCTTCACTGATAGCCATGCCCGAGTTTTTCCACGTCATGGGGGGCACCATTGGGTTTGCGCTGAAGGCGGGGCAGATCCCCGGCTTCCGCGAGTTTCTGCAGAAGGTACATCCCAAGAAATCGGCCAACAATGGATTTATCAAAGAGTTTTGGGAAGAGACTTTCAACTGCTACCTGCCGGAGGGTAATAAGAACTACCCCGGGGCGGCTGCTTTCCACAAGGGCCGCGAAGAAGGCACTGGAGGTAGAAACAGCACAGCAGCCTTCTGTCCCCCATGCACCGGGGGGGAAAACATTACCAGTGTGGAGACTCCGTACATGGATTATACTCACCTGCGGATATCTTACAATGTGTACCTGGCCGTCTATTCCATTGCTCATGCTTTGCAGGATATATACACCTGTACCCCTGGGAAAGGGCTGTTCACCAATGGGTCGTGTGCTGATATCAAGAAGGTGGAGGCCTGGCAGGTAAGTTTTTTCATTGCAACACGGAATGTCTGTGTTGGTATTTTTACAGAACAGAAGCCAAATGGAGTGGCATCTCTTCCAGGCACATATTCTTCCTAGCAAAAGTTCATGGTTTGATTTTTATGTGGCATTGGCTGGAAGGATGTGTTGGGGGGGTGTCCGGCTGTAGATGGCTCAGTTACAACAAACAGGACCACGGTGTATAATAGCTAGTAAAACAGTAAATCACCGTGTACAATTAGACAATATTTGTTGGTTTTTATATGCAATGTTTAGAATTCAATTATTAACAAAATTACAACAATAACACTACAATATGCAATATAAAGCTTAGCAGTACATATAGAGTAATACAGTACTAGTTACAGACAAACGACGGAGTTCTAGTACACTATCTGTTTGCGTGTCCTTCTTCAGGTTTGTCATTCTGTAATTATTTCTTCATTAGAATGAAGTGCTGCAAGCCATATGTTATTGTTGTAATTTTGTTAATAATTGAATTCTAAACATTGCATATAAAAACCAACAAATATTGTTTAATTGTACACGGTGATTTACTGTTTTGCTAAGTAGATGGCTCAATGGCAAATCATTGGCTGGACACAGAGAAGGTCCCCGGTTCAGTCCCTGGCATTTCTAGTTAAAGGGATCAGGCAATAGGTGATGTGAAAGTCCTCTACCTGAGACCTTGGATGGAGCATGGGTCCAAATACGTATAAGGCAACTTTATTTAGAGAGGGGCCGTGGATCAGTGGTAGATCACTTGCTTTGCATGCACAAGGTCCCAGGTTCAATACCTGGCATCTTCAGTTAAAAGGATCAGTTGGCAGATGATGTGGAAGACCTGCGCTTAAGATAGAGTTGCCAGGCCCCGCCCCCTGCTGTCGATCAGCTGGCTGGCAAGGGGAATTACCAGGAACAGGAGGGAGGCCCAGGCTACACTGCCAGCGACGTCACTTCCGGAGTGTACAGGAAGTGATGTCATCATGGCGACACTCTGATATTTGGGCAAGAACTCTATGGTAGAAGCTCTTTTTACCATAAAAGTTTTGCCGTAATACTAAAGTGTTGCTGTGACATCGCAACATGATAATGTCGCCACATTGCTGGCAACATAGCCTGGGCCTCCCTCCCACTCCTGGTCAATCCTTCCTGCTCCTGGTAAATCCCCCCGTCCCCCTCCCAGTTGTCGGGAGGGACTTGACAACCCTAACCTGACACCTTGGAGACCCACCGCCAGTCACAGTAGACAATCTTGACCTTGACAGACCTTGAAAGTGCCTGATTGAGGACAAGGCAGCTCCATGTGTCTGTGCACACAAGGAAGAGAACGGAGGCGCCCATGGGGAATCACACAAGCATGGAGCGAACATAGTCATGGATCGTGCTTAAAGACTAACACAATTTTATTGTCTGCTTGTTATCTGTATACAGGAGCCAAATCCCTTGAAATAAGACTACATCCAGTTTCCTGCATAGATAGATCTATGCAGATTTGCACCCCAACTCATCTTAATAGTGCTGAATGGAGAGCAGGGGTGGGAGCAGGCTGTGGGTAGGGCGTCCATTTCTGGGTTAGGAAGTGCCCGGAGATTTGGGGGGTGGAGACTGGAGGGGGGCAGCGTTAGGGCGTTAGGGGAGGGGGAGGGCTTCAGTGGGGTATAATGTTTTGTCCACCCTCCAAAACACTCATTTTCTCCAGGGGACTTGATCTCTGTCATTTGGAGATCAGTCGTAGTAGAAGGTGATCTCCAGTCCCCACCTGGAGGTTGGTCACAACAGCAATGGGCAATATCCTCAGAAATGCACCTTATAGGTCTGGACCAGGACTTGAGACATTTTCTTTGGCTTTAGGAGCCACCCTAAAAATTTAGGAACAAGACTTATTTTTTGAGTTTCCAGGGTTTTATGGTTCAATGACCCTACTTTCTAATTATTGCTACCACAAAAGGTAATCCTAGGCCCATTACGCATGCACATCTTACTGCAGATTTTCAGAGCAGTAAGCCTGTAATCTTGGCTTTGGATTCTGTGCCTGCCTTACGCACTGTTCTTTTTCCTCCGCTTTATTTATTCTGCAGCTACAATTTTAAAAAACACACTTTTCTAAATCGGGGTGGAACCTTACTTGTGATGTGTGGGGGGTGGCATCCAAAGGTGTTTTTTTTTTTTAATTATGCAGTTTCCCTATCACAGCTTTGCAGTGGTGTCCAGGAGCACCTTCCATTTAAATCCTCGTGGTTCAGGCTTTGCAGGTGCATTTTAGTGTTAGTTCATTGAATGAAAGGGAACAGAAAGGAATGCAGGCAAAGGGGGAAAACCCAATGTTGAAACTGACAAGACTTTTTTTGAAACTGACAAGTAGCTGTGGAGTACTAGGGGATTCTCTGCTGTGTTATCAGCCATTGAAAAATAGGAGTCACATGGTCTCATAAAATGGAGGAACATGTTGAGTGTACAGAATGCATGGTAGAACCCATTGACACTGGCACTGCAAGCTGTGATAGTTGGCAATATGTGTGTTTGTGTGCATGCATGCACCTGTGCAAAGTTGGCTGCGACTCCAACCACACTTTGCACAGGGCTGCAGTTTGTATGGGGGTTTGTATGGGGGTGGAGTCCTCTGGCAGAAGTTCTGGAGAGCTTTTTTAGTTTTGTTGCCACTAAATTTTTGCCAGTGCCCTAGTGCAGCTGCATAGTAATGCTAATTTCCTGCCCTTCCTTGCAAATTTGCGTGGTTTCCTCTTTGCGATTCTCTAATTTGATCCTGCACACTGGTCATGATCTTGGCAGTTTTTTAAAGGCTGTCCGGTGCAGATTGCCCTCTTCCTCCAAATAGATCAATCCCAAGTGATTCTTAAGTTTGATGGTTCACGCCCATGTGACTCAACTGCCATTTTAATGTTAGGCTTCCAAAGACTGCCAAAATGTTACCCCACCCAAGAAACTTTGTTCACTAAAGCATGAAAGGGAAATTTTTTTCAAAGCTTTAGGCTTCCCATCCCAGTGTCTCTCTCTTTACACCTCATGTCAGTTTCATTCTGTGCTGACGACACACCCCCCTTATTTTGTTTGCATGCAGCACTGAAATCCTTTTTTCTTTTTGCACTGGGGACACTGCTGTTTGCCTCCTCTCCAATCCCCCTTTCAAGTCAATACCAGCAGGGAACTAAACCTTGTGCAGCTCCTTTTAAACTCCCCCCATTTAATTTTTTTTAAAAATGCAGCAATCTGAGACTAGACTTATGCCACTTGTAAAAAAATGTAAAATTTAAAAACAAGGGGGAAATGGAGCTTGTACACCAATAAAGGGGGGGGATGGCGGAAGGTACAGAGTGGGCGAAAGGACCTCAGTGTGGGCAGGGAGTGACCTTCGAAGGGCGGCAAAAAGGCGGGGGAGGAAATCCAAGGGAATCTGTACACTTTCAAATCACCTTTGACTTGGAAGAGAAACAAAGGGAAATAGGCACAAAAACACTCTCAGAAAACCCGGATACAGAGTGGGCGAAATGACCTCAGTCTGGGCAGGGAGTGACCTTTGAAGGGCGGCAAAAAGGCGGGGGGGGGAATCCAAGGGAATCTACACACTTTCAAATTACCTTTGACTTGGAAGCAAAACAAAGGGAAATAGGCACAGTTTGGTGTAGTGGTTAAGTGCCAGTGGTTAAGAGCCAGTTTGGTGTAGTGGTTAAGTGCGCGGACTCTAATCTGGGAGAACCGGGTTTGATTCCCCACTCCTCCCCTCGCACCTGGCTGGATGACCTTGGCCAAGCCATAACTCTGCCAGAGCTGTTCTTGAAAAAGAGCAGTTTCTGTCAGAGCTCTCTCAGCCCCGCCTACCTCACAGGGTGTCTGTTGTGGGGAGGGGAAGGGAAAGGAGTTGTAAGCCGCTCTGAGACACCTTTGGGTAGTGAAGGGCGGGGTATAAATCCAATCTCCTCTCCCCTCCTCCTCCTCCTCCTCAAAAACACTCTCAGAAAACCCAGAGAAGCAGCGACCAGAAAGCAAACTGAGCGCCGAAGGGAGAAAAATCAATGCAGAATGACAAAGAAAACCCAACGAACATGCACAGTGAAAGTGAGGGGAAACACCCATGCATAATAGGTCCTAGTCAATATGGTCCTTGATAGGCTAGTCCATTCACGAATTTGATAACCTACGATTGTTAAGGGGCGGGAAAAGCATTTAAAATATGTTCATAAGAAAGACCCTATCCAGTTGGAGCCTTTCACTTATTGCAGGACATGTGCGCGTTCTCCCAGCTTGCGGGGTGGCTATTAGCAGCAAAAGGGGAGCAGGAAGCAGGAAACACCCCCCCCCCCCGCACGGATGAAAGCGGGATTGGGGAGGGTTGTCTCTAGACAGAGTGCTTCACACTCGGGTAAATGGCACAAGAGAAGCGCTCCTTGTTTGTGAGAGCAGCTCTTTGTTTAAACGCTGAGGGGTTGTAGGAAATGAGTTTGCAACTCATCCGTGGAGTGCCTCCAAAGAAGGCCATCAACATGCGGGTCGTTTGGTGTCATCGGGTGCAGCTAATGAGAAACCTGTGGACATCATGGAATCGCTCTTTCATCTCGGCACATTAATCTCAGTAAAACACGCCTGTGCCTCCCATACCGACAGCTGCCTGTCTAGAAATCAATAGCCAGACTTCCCTGGTGATTCACTGTCTAGAGAAGTGCAGTGTCCATAATGCTTCCCGTTGCATTTTACAACGGTTAGAGTGTGTGCTTTGTGCCTAGAAGGTCTCGGGTTCAGTCTTTATTAACTCTAGCTGGAAGGAATCCAGGCTGCTTGGATGTCTGTTGTGGATCAGAGGAGGCGATGCAGAGCTAGAGGGGAAGCCAGTGGGTTGACTCGGGAGGAGGCAACTTTAAAAGTTACCCTGCTGCAGGGCTCCCCCAGTATCGAGCTTATGGATAAAGGGATTTTGAGAACAGGAAGAAGAAGAAGAAGAAGAAGAGATTGGATTTATACCCCGCCCTTCACTTGGAGTCTCA